AAAACTAAAAGCAAAATAAAACCGGGCCAGAGAGATCAGATAGGGGTTAAGGTGTTTGCCTTATATGTGAATAGAGTTCAATCTTTGGCAGGACATGTGGACCCCCTAAGCCCCTCCAGGAGTGCTCCCGAGTACAGAGACAGGAGTAAGCCAGAGGTACAAAACAAAACAAAAGAAACTAAAGGAAAATGTAGCAACTAAAAAATCAAAAATAACATAGGTAGCCCATATGTATAGGGGGTATTGGGGGAGGGTTCGCCACACAATCAAGAGATGCTGGATTTTTTTTTTATTATTATTTAATGAGTCACTATGAGATACACAGTTTCAAAGCTGTTCATGATTGGGTTTCAGTCATATCAGGGGTTATTCTTTTTTTTTGCTTTTTGGGTCACACCCAGAGATACAAAGGGGTTCCTCCTGGCTCTGCACTCAGGAATTACTCCTGGCGGTGCTCGGGGGACCCTATGGGATGCTGGGAATCGTACCTGGGTTGGCCGCGTGCAAGGCTAATGCCCTACCCGCTGTGCTATCGCTCCAGCCCCTCAGGGGTTAATCTTGGCAATGCTGGGGGACCATATGGGATGCTGGGGATAGAACTATGGCTCCACCCCATGCAGCTCCTATATTTTTTAGTGCTCTTACTTAATTGAGACTTAACTGACATGTAACATTGCATAAGTCTGAGACCTGGCTATGATACATATGCATATTGCAACATAGTTACCCGCTGGCTAAAACTCTAAGGCCATATAATAATATTAATTATAACTACTTGTTTCTTTTGTTTCTGGGCCACACCCAGCTGCACTCAAGAATTTAATCCTAGTTCTGTGCTCAGGGATAAACTCCCTGACAGTGCTGGCGTGGGAGGGGCGGGCTATATGGGGTGCTGGGGATTGAACCCTGGTTGGCAGCAGACTGGGAAAATTCCTTCTCCGCTGCACATCCTTTTTTCTTCTTCTTTTTCTTTTTCTGGGTCACAGCCAGCGATACTTAGGAGTTACTCCTGGCTCTGAGCTCAGGAATTACTCCTGGTTCTGGTTGCGGTCAGGGACGCTGGGCATCAAAATTGGGTCTGCCCCATGCAAGGCAAACGCCCTAACCATTGTACTATTTTTCTGGCCCCTGTACATCCTTTTTAATTTTTTTTTTTTTGCTTTTTGGGTCACACCCGGCGATGCACAGGGGTTACTCCTGGCTCTGCGCTCAGGAATTACCCCTGGCGGTGCTCAGGGGACCATATGGGATGCTGGGAATTGAACCTGGGTTGGCCGCGTGCAAGGCAAACGCCCTATCCGCTGTGCTATTGCTCCAGCCCCTTAATTTTTTTTTAATTTTTGACTTTTTGGGTCACATCTGGCGATGCTAGGGGTTAGTGCTGGTTCTGCACTCAGGAACTACTCCTGTCAGTGCTTGGGGGACCATATGGGATGCCAGGGATTGAACCCAGGTTGACAAGGCAAATGTCCTACCCCCTGTACCATTTCTCTGGCTCCTGTCACCTTTTTAATTTTATTTTTATTTAATTTTTTAAATTTTGCTTTTTTGGGTCACACCGGCGATGCACAGGAGTTACTCCTGGTTCATACACTCAGGAATCACTCCTGGCGGTGCTCGGGGGACCGTTTGGGATGCTGGGAATCGAATCTGGGTTGGCCATGTGCAAGGCAAACGCCCTACCTGCTGTGCTATCGCTCCAGTCCCCTGTCACCTTTTTTAGACTGGCAATTCTGGATGCAGAAGGGGAGTACAGTAGGGAAGGCCTTGGTGCCTTGCCTTGGTGACCAAAGGATTCGGTCCAGGTACCCCATAGGGTCCCCTGGGCAGTGCCTGGAAGGATCCCTGAGCACAGAGCCAGGAGTAAGCCCTGAGCACTGCTTGGTGTGCACCCCACCCCAATGACAGACAGTGGCTTAGCTGGGATTCCAGGCTTACCTGCCAGTTCTCATCCCAGATTCTGATGTCTGGGTTCAGAATCTGAGACACCCCCAACTCCCCCCCCTGCCCCCCCCGCCCCCCCCTCCGGCTCCAATCAACCCAGAATCCCAGATCTTCAAAGCCAGACTCTAAACCTGAATCGGTTCCCCTACCACACCGGTCCCCCAGCCCAATCTAGGCTTCAAGATATGGATCCCCCTAGATTCAGATTTCAAAACCAAAACGGAAACCCGGGGAGCCGCAGGGCAGGGATAGCGCAGCGGGGAGGGCACCGGCCTTGCACGCGGCAGACACGGGTTCGATTCCCCACTGAGCCCCGCTAGGAATCAGCCCCAAGCATCACAGGGTGGGGCCCAAAATCAAAAAATCCAAAACATAGAATCTGAATTCTTGTGATTCCGGTTCCAGAGTGGGCGCCTACCCCCGCTCAGGGCGCTGAATCCCAGCGTGGTATCCCCCACTTCCCCCCACGCCAGAGCGGTGGGGGGGGCGGGGGGCTTCCTGGCTCGTGATCCGGGCTGGCAGCCAACACAACACAAGAGCCGTTGCATGGAGACTTTTGAAAAATGTGGCGCCAAACTTGAGCGCGGGGCGCGGGCGACGGGGCGGGACTGTTCAGCTCTAGGGAGGGGACCACCCCCCGCCCCTCGCAACCAAAGCAGACCGTTCACTCCAGCGACCCGGACTCAGGAGGGTCGCAGGTTCGAGTCCCCGCGCGGTGACACCTCTATCGGGGGGCCGTGTGCGCGTCCCGGGTCGCGCGCTCTCGTGCCTCAGTTTCCCGAGCTGCTGGAGCGCGTTGGAGCGCCCCGCTACCCAGGGTTTGGTGGGGCGGGGGCGGGTGACGCCGGGATGGGTCAGACGGAGCCCCGCTCCGCTCTCCCAGCGCCAAAATTCAAAAGCAGCGACTCCGCCCCGAGGCGGCCGGCCCCACCCCAGGGCCACGCGGGGCTTTCTGGGGCTTGGAGTCCAGCCGTGTCCTGGGGTTCCAGGCAGGGGAGGGAGGCTGGGGGTGTGCTGTGGGCACTAGCCATTGGCTGCTGGGACACCCCAGGCCATGGTGGGTGGTGGGTGGAGGGGACCCCGTTCCCCCCCGCCAGGATTCTGCTCTGCCTGTGATCTGGAGGGGTTAGGAACTTTGGGAAGGGCTGCAGCTAAGAGTTGGGGTGAAGATAGGAGACCGGGACCCCACGTCACCTGTAATTCACATTTGGGGTTAACCCCAAGACGCTCCTTACTCCCAGATCTTTTGGTTTTTGGATCACCGCCAAAAGGGCTCGGGGAGTCTCAGGGTTGTAGGGGGTGCTCAGGAGTGCAGGACATCGGGATCGAACCTGTGTCAGTCACATACAAGGGAAATGCCTTCCCCACTGTACTATCTCTCCAGACCGCTTCTTGTCTTGGTTCTGGGGGGGCAGAAAACAGGAAGCGACTTTGGGAAGACCCTTGGGAACTCGGTCCTGCCTGAGTTTTTTTTTTTAGTTTTTTAATGGATGAGAGTTCTAATTTTGTTATTTAGAAAAAAAACAACTCCCTTACTTGTTTTTCACTGTAGCTGTGAGTTTTTATTTTTCTTTCTTCTTTTACTTTTAATTATTATTATTATTATTATTTTGCTTTTTGGGTCACTCCTGGCTCTGCGCTCAGGAATTACCCCTGGCGGTGCTCAGGGGACCATATGGGATGCTGGGAATCGAACCAGGGTTGGCCGCGTGCAAGGCAAACGACCTACCCGCTGTGCTATCGTTCCAGCCCCCTCTTCTTTTAATTAAAAAAAAAAATTGGGTCACACCCAGTGATGCTCAGGGGTTCCTCCTGGCTCTGCACTCTGGAATCACTCCTGACGCTCAGGGAACCATACGAGATGCTGAGGATGGAACCAGGGTTGGCCGCGTGCAAGGCAAGCGCCCTCCCCGCTGGACTATCACTCCGGCCCCCACCAGCAGTATGTGGATACTCCATTTTCTCCGTTGCCTCGCTGGTAATTGTTATTTCTTTTTGATCCGTTCTAGCACATGTGACGTGATGCCTTTTCTGAGCTTGGCCTGCATTTGCTTGGTGATTAGTGGAGTTGAGCATCTGTTGGTCATCCGTATATCTTTTTTTAATTGAGTTACCCTGAGACAGTAATAAAGTGGATAATGATTGTTTCAGTCAATATCCCAACACCCATACCTTCACCAGTGTACATTTCCCACCACCAAGGTCCCCAGTTTTCTCCAGTCAGCCCCGACCCCCACCCCCAAGCCTGCCTGCCTCTGTCACTCTGTCATTCACCGTTCTTCTCTCTCTCCCCCCACCTCCCCACCACCCCCGCCTTTTGGGTATTGTGGTTTGTAATACAGATACTGAAACCTTGAGTTTTAAGGATTGGGGATACTTGGGCTTCCAACTGTGCAGTCTGGGGGAGGGGATTGCTCCACGTGCCATTTTCTGGAGTCACCTAAAGGCTGTCTCGCACCCGGTCCAGCCTTCTCCAAGAACGCCCATGCAGATCCGAGGATAGAAGCAACCAAGGGATCTACGGGCAGATAACTTGTTGCATTGTTGAGTTTGGGTTTGGGGTCCACAAACCCAAGGGATCACTCCTGGCGGCGCTCAGGGAAACCCAAGGTGGTGCCGGGGATCGAACCCGAGTCTTCTGTGTGCCAGGCAAGCGCCTTACCCGCTGTGCTCAATTGCTCCGACCCTGTCATTGTCTGTTCCACCACTTTTGGTGGCTTGGCGCTGGCAGGTGCTACCACTACTGGCATCATTTTGTGTGTGTGTGGGGGGGGGGGGGACACGCAGCTGTTCATCTAGCAATGCGCAGCAAAGGACGGGGGCGCGTCGCAAGACGCCCGTGGACGATCCAAAGGCTCTACGACAGGCGGGCAAGGGCGCAGTCCAGGCGGAGGTACTGCGCCGCCTGGCAGGAGCGGCAGGCGGACTTCATTTCCCGGCGTGCCCCGCGGGACTACCAGTCCCAGCATCCCCCGCGCGGGGCCGCGGACTCCATCTCCCAGCAGGCCCCGCGCGCGGCGGAGGGGCCGACAGCCGGGCGGGCGGGCGGGCGGAGACGGCGGCGCCATCTTGCCGCGGCGCGGATTGAATGAGCCCGCCGGGCGGCCGCCGTCCCGAGCCGCGCAGGCCGCGAGCCGCCGCCATGGCCACGCCGCTGCCCGGCCGCGCGGGGCCGGCCACGCCGCTGTCGCCCACGCGCCTGTCGCGGCTGCAGGAGAAGGAGGAGCTGCGCGAGCTCAACGACCGCCTGGCGCACTACATCGACCGCGTCCGCGCGCTCGAGCTGGAGAACGACCGGCTGCTCGTCAAGATCTCGGAGCGCGAGGAGGTGACCACGCGCGAGGTAGGCGTGCGCGCGCCCGCGCCGGTGCGCGCGCCCGCGCGCCCGCGCGCGCGTCCCCGCCGCGCCGCGCCGCGCGCGCCCGCGGGCGAGGCGGCGGGGGCCGCTGGCGGGCACGGACGGGGGTGCCGCTCCCATCGGGGCCTCTCGGGGTGGGGGGTGGAGCTCGCGTGCCTTTCTCGGGTTCGGTCTGCCCACCTCGGGGACCCCAGGGGACATCCGGCAGGGGCCCCGGGGGGCGTCCCAGAGCGAAGGACGGGTGCACGTCGGGGGCGTGGTCTGCACGTCAAGGAATCCCCAGTGCGGGGCTGGGGTGGGTGGGGGGTCCCCGGAGGAGGAGCGGGGAGCAGCATCCGGGGTGTCTGGGCTGGGGCTTGGAGGGATCTTGGGGTCCTGCAGGTTCCCGGGGGGCCCCCCCGGGCGCGGGGTGCGCGCGCTGCTGCGGGCTCCTGGGGGCACGTGGGCGTTCCGGGGAGAAGGGGGGTTCCCCAGGGTCTTCCCGGCTGTTCTGGGCCCCCAGCGGGGCTGCCGGGAGGACTCGGGGCTCCCCTCCCGGACGCTCGGAGGTGTCAGGAGCCCCCCACACTGTGACGGGGCCCCAGGGAGGGACGCAGACCGGGCGCGGACTCCGCATTCTAGAGCGCCCTGGGGTGAAGGGAGTGGGGGTCTGGAGGCCCTGGAGGGAGGGAGCGTGTGAGGGTCCCCGAGACTCCCTCCCCTTGAGCTCGGGTCTGTGGGTTTGGGGGTTCCTCTGGTCGCAGAGGGGACCGAGGCCCCGGGGAGGGTGGAGGGCGGGGTGGCTCCTGGGCGGAGTCACGTGGCTGCGCCTGTCACTTTGGAGTCCTTAGGTGAGTCCAGTGAGTTTGGGGGCATGGCCGGGGCCGGGGTCCCCAGTTGTGGGGGAATGGGGAGACCTTCCGGAGCCCCAGGATGGCTTTGCTGAGGGGAAGGGGGTTCTACCCCTGCCCAGGATCAGAGAGAGCTGAGGTCTAGGGGACGCAGGGGGAATTGGGAGTTGGAATCGGGGAGGGTCTTGGGGACCCGCCGGGAGGGAGGGGGTGCAGACCAGCACCAGGTGGAGCGGGGTCATGACCTCAGGCTAAACCCTGCTGCCTTGAGGGGGCCCTGCCCCTGAGTTTGTCCTGTGTTTGCAGCTGGGACACCCTTTGAGTTGGGCTGGGGGTTGGGGCGGGCAGATGCCCGAGAGGGCCCCCAGGTCGGATGTGGGTGTTTCCTCGAGACTTCAGTTCCAGGCCTTGTGGGCAGCCTGTGGGCTGCAGCCCCCTTGCCCAGGCCCCAGGACCCATTGGGGTCCTCCCTCCTCCCTGCCGACAGCTGGACTGTGTTGGTCAGCTGGCCTGGGTTTGGTGTGTGTGTGTGTGTGTGTGTGTGTGACTATGTGCATGCGTGTGTGTGTGTGGTGTGTGACTGAGTGCATATGTGTGAGTATGAATGTGTGACTGTGAATGTGTGTGCGTGTGTCCCCTCCCCATGTGGTGTGTCTGTGTGCGTGCATGTGAATGTGTGTGTGCATGTGTGACTGAGTGTGAGACAGCAAGTGAGTCAGTGTGTGACCGTGTGCGTGTGAGCGTATGTAGGAATGTATTCGAATGTATTCGTGTGAGTGAATGCGAGCGTGTGAGTGTGTGTGTGCATAATGGACTGTGAGTGTGTGTGTCCATGTGTGCATGTGATGGGTTGTGCATGTGAGTGGGAGCGTATGGGTGAATGCGTGTGTAGGTGTGCATACACGTGATGGGCTGTGAGTGCGAGTGTGAGTGTGTAAATGTGTGTGTGAATGAGCGTGAATGCGCGTGTAAATGGGCGTGTCCTGCCCCGGGGACCTCAACACTTGCCACCCTGGGGGTGCTCCTGGCCAGGGTGGGGGCCCGGATGGCAGCTGTGCTGCTGGAGTGACCCCAGTGGGTACCCCAAATCCGCTGGCCAAGGTTGAGTCACCAGGGACCCTTTGAGGGGGTCCCAGAGAGTGACCTGTCCCCTGTCACGGACGGACAGCGAACCCCAGGGGACGCACGCCTGTGTGCTCCTTCCCTGCCCTCGCGCCCCCCCCTCCTGCCCAGGTGACCCTGTTTCCTGCCCTCACTGCTGCCTTGCCACGGGGCTTCGGGAAGCGTCAGGCGCTGGGGGTGCTTGCAGGTCGGGGTGGGGGGGCTTTCCCCACCCACAGGTCTCAGTGCGGCTGGCACTGGGGGGCTCCTGGCAGGCTGCTGCAGTGTCGGGGTTCCCCTGCTTGGGTCTGCTGCCCGCTGAGTGGGACCGGAAGGGGCTCAGAGCCTGCTGGGTGTTGGCCTGTCCCCTGCGCCCTGCATGGCCGGCCGGGCAGCCGAGCGCAGGTCCAGCCCTGGGTGCAAAGCACCTTCTCGTTTTCTCTCTCTCGGCCTTGCCAAAGATGGAAGGGCCGAGTGGGTTGTCCCGGGGCTGAGACACCCGGGTCCGGATTACAATTTTGGCTTTTGGGCACATCCGGCGCTGCTCAGGGCTGACTCCTGATTCTGTGCTCCGGGCATCCTGTGAGTTGTCAGGAAATGAGCCCAGGGGCACCGAGTACAACACTGGCGCCTCTCCAGACCGGCCGGCCTGGGCTCTATCCTAGCAAGGCAAACGCCCTCCCCGCTGTCTCTCCCCACTGTGCTATTGCTCCAGCCCCAACAGGCCTCCGTTTGATCCTTGGCACCATGGATGGTCCTTGAGACCCACCTGGAGTGCTCCCTGAGCACTGCGCCTGGAGTAGCAGCCTTAGGGCCCCCCCCGCCCCCCGTGAGATCCACACCAGCAGTCCCCGCAAAAAAAAAAAAAAACAGCCCACCCACGGAGATGGTGCCTGTTTGTGAGGGCAGGGCGGGCTCGTCTGTTGGAAGTGCTTCATTCCGGAAAGGCGGTGGGAATGGGGGGCTGGCGCTGGGGGTGTCTGAATGATCCAGGAGGTTCCATGGCGAGCAAGCTCAGAGGGCCTGTTTTTTTGTTTTTGTTTTATTGTGGGGGGGGGTCACACCAGGTCATGCTCAGGGGCCACTCCAGGTGGTGCTCAGGGGACCGTATGGGATGTCAGGGATCGAACTCGAGTTGGCCTTGTGCAAGGCCAGCGCCCTCCCCGCCGTCTCTCTGGCTCGGGGACCTGATTTTGAGGGGGTGGCTGGCGCCCTCAGTGGCCTCAGAGACTTGCTCCTCCGGGGAAGGGAAGAATGTGGCCCTGCTGCTCCCTCCGGGCCTGGCCAGGCCTGCAGGTTTCTTGTGGTGGCTGTCCTGGCATGCCCAGGACCGGGGTGGGGCAGCGCCCTGGGTGGTGGGTGGGGACCCAGGGCACGTGCTCTCAGGCCCTTTCCCTGACCCTGATTTTTTTTTTGGGGGGGGTCACACTGGCGATGCTCAGGGGTTCCTCCTGGCTCATGCACTCAGGAATTACTCCTGGCAGTGCTCGGGGGACCATATGGGATGCTGGGGATCGAACCCGGGTCGGTCGCGTGCAAGGCAAACGCCCTACCCGCTGTGCTATCGCTCAGTCCCCCCTGATTTGTTCTGTTGTGTTGTGGGATCACCCTGCAGTGCTCAGGGCTGACTCCTGGCTCTGTGCTCCAGGATCACTCCTGGCGGAGCTCAGGGGACCCCGGGTGGTCCTGAGGGTCGAACCCAGGGCAGCTGCCTGCAGGACAAGTACCTGATCCGTGTAGTATTTCTCCAGTCTCTTCTTTGCTTTTATTTTCAGTTGTGTCTTTTGGGGTGGGGTGGGGCGGCTACATCTGGCAATGCCAGGAGGGGCTCTAAACAGGTGATGCCTGGTCTGTCATTCGCAAGGTGAGCTCCTTCCTGGCTGTCTCTGAGGACCTGGTTTTTTTCGGGGTTGTGGAGGAAGCAGCCTCAGTCTTCATGAAGAAATCTGAAAACGTCGTCTCATGAACCCAAAGGACAGGGCTGGGAGGGTAGTCCTGGGGTCAGGGGCGGGGGTCCTGCTTGAGTCCCGGCTGGGGGTTTCATCCTTGCCTCGAAAGGTTCCCCAGAGCCCCGCCAGGAGTCACCCCTGAGCACAGGGCCAGGAGCCACCCTGAGCACTGCTGGTCGTGACCCAAACGTGTAAGAGATCCCTAGCCGTAAGAGAAAGTAAAACAAAAGTAAAGAAATAATCTCTGACCCCCCCCCCCCATTTTAAATATCACCTGTGTGCTGAGGGTTCACTTCAGACCTAGCAGGCTGCGTCACCCAGAGACACTGAGGCTGGGAGGTTCCCCCCAAGCCCCAACAGACTGGGGGAGGGGTGGGCACAAGGCATGGCAATTGGGGTGCTGGATTGGGGGGGCTACACTCTCCGCCTTGGTGTCTGATGGGGGCAGGCTGGCAGCACGAGGTGGGCTGGGAACTGTAGGGCTGATGTTGGTTTGGGGTGAGCGCCTTGCATTCGGGTGATGATGGGGTGGGTGCACTGCATCTGGGTGCTGATGGGGCGGGCGCACTGCATCTCTGAAGGAAGCACCCTGGGGAGGGCCAGAACCAGGGTCTGTCTGGCTTGCCCATGGCCGTGATCCCTCCTCTGCCCTCCCAGGCTTTGTTTTTTGGTGTCACCACACCCGGTGTTGCTCAGGGCAGACTCCTGGCTCAGTGCTCGAGCATCACTCCTGGCGGGGCTTAGGGGACCCTATAGATTGAATCGGGTTGGCTTCCCCTCCACCCCCCACCTCACTTTTTTCTTCTTCCTTTAGATTCCCCTTCCCAGAGGCACTTTGGTTTTTGCTTTTGTATTGCAAAAGCAAGATCGGCCAGGGGAGATAGTTCCAGTGACCTCAGGGCACTTGCTTTGGGGCAGCTGGACCCTGGCCTGTCCTTCCCTGGACCTCTGGAGAAACAAAACACATTTTTGTCATTTTGTTTTGCGGCCACACCCTACAGCACAGGTGCCCAGGGCTCAGGGCTCACCCGGAGAGTGCGGGAACTGAAGCGGGTCAGCCGCCTGCCAGGGATGGGGCAGCGCCTGAAGGGCTGTGCTCCCCCATCTCTGGATGCCAAGAGCTAGCTAGGATCACCCTCGCCAGAGGGGGAGGGGCGCGCGGGATTCTGCACTTTCCTTCCGGGAAGCTTTTTCCCTCCTGGTACAGGAAGTTGCTACCCTGTGGAGGCACGCAGGGGAAGGGGGAGGCCGCAGACTTGGCCTGTGGGCACCCCAGCTTTGATGCCCTGACTGACATGGTCTCCCGGAGTACCACCTGGTATGGTCCAGACCCCGGCTCCTTCCTCCCTCGGCACCCCATAGGGTCCTCTAGCACAGCCAGGGGTGAGCCCTGAGCACAGCTGGTGGTGACCCTCAGAACGAACACACACACACACACACACACACACACACGCACACACAGAGGCCAGAGAGATAGTATAGCCTTGCACACAACCCACTTGGGGTCAGTCCTGAGCACTGCTGGTTGTGACTCCTAAAACACGCACACACACATGCACACGCACACACGCGCGCGCACACACACACACATGCATACACACACACACATGCATACACACAAACACACACACACACACACAGCCCAGAGAGATATTTATAGCCTTGTACATAGCCCACCCGGGTTCAGTGCCCGGCTGAGCACCTCCAGGGGCGATTCCAGAGTGCAGAGCACTGCTGGGTGTAGCCCCAAAACAAGCGAACAAAATCCCCTCCCCACATACGTATACACACGAGAGCCCTAAAAGTCAGACGTTGCAGGTCACAACAGGCTTGGGGGCAGCCCCGCACCCCCTCCCAACCTGAGGGTTTTTCGGAAGGAAATACGGAAGTCCTTAAGTGACGTCTCCCAGGGACCCAGTGTGTCCAGGGGTACAAAGCACGGGTTGTTGGCCCAGGTTCAGTCCCTGGGCCCCCCACCATCATGTCGAGCGCTGGGGGCGGGGTGGCCCCAAAACAGTGGAAGCAGTTGGCCGGGTCGGTAGAGAGTTGGGACAGCGACGCCCAAGATACTCCTGGTCATGGTACCGCCAGCCACAGTGCTCCCTCCAGAGGGGAGATGGCGCGGTGGTTAGGGCACACGCCGCGTGTGCAGCATGGGTCTGTGTCCCTGGCACCGCGGGGCCCCACCACAGCCCCGTCTCCTTGGGGCCCGGTGGGCTGAGAACCATCTGCAGGGGCCCTGGGTGTCCGGAACATCACTTGGGGGACCTCCGGCCCCCCACCCCCGGGAAAGAGGAGGGACTAAAATCTGAAATAAAAGACAATGACTTCTTCGTCAGAGCCTGAAGAAAGAGCATGGGCGGGCGTGAATTCCTGCGGGGTGAGCGCCCCTCTCCTGAGCGCCCCTCACTGCCTGCCTGAGGGTCCCGGCCCAGCAGTGACCCCTCCGGAGACCCCACGAACCCGTCACCCCACAGGAGCCTTGTGCATGGCTGACCCCAGTTTAAATCCTGGGCACCACAGGAGTGACCCCTGAGACCCACTGGGTCTGCCCCCAAAGCCAAGAAAAACATTCGGTGCAAGGATTTTCTTTTCTTTTTTGTTTTTGGGCCACCCCCGGCCATGCACAGGGCTGACTCCTGGCTCTGTGCTCAGGGATCATGCCTGGTGGGGCTCCAGGGACCCCGGGATTGCTGGGGATCGAACTTGGGGCTCCTGCATGCAGGGCCAGCACCTTCCCCACTGTCCTATCTTGCCAGCCCCTACAGATCCAGACTTGAGGGGCTGCTTGTCCTGCTGGGCCCGGGGGTCCCCAGGACACCCAGTGTGGGGGCTCTGCTCATCTTCTGTGTGTCCGGCGGCCACTCTGTCCCCCACAGAGGCAGCCCTGTTCCTCCTGCTTTGGTTTGCCTGGCGGGGAGCAGGGGTTGGGGCGGGGGGCGTTGGGCAGCCCTCCATGCCAGCGGGTCAGTACCTGAGCCGAGGCGCGGGGGTGCTGGGGATCCCGGGGTCGGGGGTGTGCAGGGCTGAACCCCTGCCTCGCTGTGGGGCCTCCGGCCCCTCCTTTGCTTCCTCCCTCCACGTCCCTTCTGGTGCAGGGTAGGGGTGAAACGGGTCCCGCGTCCCTGCTCTGGAGACGCAGATGAGCGTCCCCGTAGTGTGGGGGTCCTGGGCTTGCGGCATCTGCTTCAGGAGCATTTTTCTTTTCCTTTTTTTTTCTTGGGGGGGGCTTTTTGGGTCACACTCAGCAGTGCTTGGGGCTGACTCCTGGCTCTGTGCTCAGGAATCACTCCTGGTGGTGTTCGGGCGGCCCTCTGGGGGGCTGGGGATCGAACCCGGGTTGGCCGTGTGCAAGGCAAACGTCCTCCCCACTGTGCTATTGCTTCGGGCCCCGGGAACGTTTTTTCTTCTTCCCAAGTCTTCGGCTCCTCACTGCCCATGGGGTTTCCGTGTCCCGTCCCGTCCCGTCCCCCCCCTCGGGGGTTCTGGGTATCTGGAGGTGGGGGGTGCCCTGAGAGTGGTGTCCCCATCACGCTGTCCCCTGTCTCCAGGTGAGTGGCATCAAGAGCCTGTATGAGTCGGAGCTGGCGGACGCCCGCCGGGTGCTGGACGAGACGGCCCGGGAGCGTGCCCGGCTGCAGATTGACGTGGGCAAACTGAGTGCCGAGTTGGAGGAAATCAGCAAGAGGTGGGCACCAGGACCCCTGGCATGACCCCCTCTTATTCCCCATCACCCCTGCCTCCGCTGCCCCTGGAAGTCGCCATCTCGCCCTCCCTGGCCACCCTGGGCTCTTGCTGGAATGTTCCGTAGCTGAAGTCCTCTCCCGGCCCCTGCTCCGGGCCCGCTGCCTCCTGCAGGCCAGTGGGGACAGCCGGACCCCCCCCCCGCCCCCGGGCCTTGGCAGAGCAGCAAGACTTGGGGTGGGGGGCAGGGAGGGGGCTTTTGGGGGCCTGTGCTCCGTTACCCCAGGCAGGGGCTGAGTGTGTCTTAGTGGGTGACCCTGGGGTCACCAGGGGAGATCCTGGGGGCTGGGGGTGGGGGAGGCAGGGGTGCTGCTCACCCCGCACTGTGCCCAGGACACCCCCCTCCCCACTTTATTTATTTTGCTTTGCTTTTTGGGTCACGCCCGGCGATGCTCAGGGGTTCCTCCTGGCAGTGCTCGGGGGACCCTATGGGGTGCTGGGAATCGAACCCGGGTCGGCTGCATGCCAGGCAAACGCCCGCCCCGCCGTGCTGTCGCTCCAGCCCCCCCTCCCCACTTGAGATTCAGAGTGGGGGATCGCCGTCCCCTCCTTGCCTGGGCAGTGGGCACCCTTGGGCTGGAGACAGGCAGGTTCCTCGCCGCGGGGGCTGGGGGTCTCTGCTCATCGCGCCCGGCCCTTGCAGCTCCAAGAAGCGGGAGGGCGAGCTGACGGCGGCGCAGGCGCGCGCCAAGGACCTGGAGGCGCTGTTGCACCGCAGCGAGGCCGAGCTGGCGGCCGCCCTCGGCGACAAGCGCGCGCTGGAGAGCGACGTGGCCGAGCTGCGCGCTCAGCTGGCCAAGGTGGGGCGCGGGGCGCGGGCCGGGCACCCCTCCCCCGCCGCCCGCCCTCCCCCCGGGGCCCCGCGCCCGCCTGACCCCTCGGCTTCCCCAGGCGGAGGACGGCCACGCCGTGGCCAAGCAGCAGCTGGAGAAGGAGACGCTGATGCGCGTGGACCTGGAGAACCGCTGCCAGAGCCTGCAGGAGGAGCTCGACTTCCGCCGCAGCGTCTTCGAGGAGGCCAGTGGGGGGGGCAGGGCGGGGGGCCACTTCCGGTCTGCCCAGTGCAGGGGCGCAGGGGGTCTGCGTCTTGGAGGACGTCAGTGGTGCCTGGGGTTGGGGGTCCACTTCCGGCCTGCCCGGTGCTGGGGGGCCGGGGCTCCTGTCTGCCTCTGTCTGTTCTCGGGTCACCCCCTCTCCCCACACACACACACATACCTGCACCCGGGTTTGGGGGCATCATGACCGTCTTCGTGTTGGTCATCGTGGGGGGCTTCTTCTCTGTGGCTCAGAAGATGGAGCCTTTGGCATCCAGGCCAGCCCCAGGGGCACCCAGGGCTGTGGGTGCCAGCCCCGTGTTCCAGCTAAGGCCCCGCCCGGGTTTCTGTCCATCTGTCCGTCCCTCCTTGTGTTTGTGGGTACGCAGACGGTACCTCTTTTGCAGTCTCTGGTTGGAGCTGGGTGGGGGTGGGGTGGGGGTGTGGGCGGGTGGGGGCATTGTGCCCTCAGAGCTCGGAACGGAACCAGAACCTGAGCCGGACTGTCCAGCCCCCGCAGTGGGGGATCCATGCTGCTGAGGAGCCGCCCCCTGCAGCTGCCCCCGCTGGCCCCGGGTGCCACGGTGGCCTGGGTGAAGGCCACGAGGGACATGGGGGAGTCTCCCACCCCTGCGAGGGGCCCTAGAGCCTGGAAGAAGCCTCAACATGTGAGGGACCCCGTGTTCCCTGGGGACCCCTGGTCTAAGAGGGATCCTGGACCTAGGAGGAACCCCAAACCCAGGAGCGTTTCCGAGAAACCCCAGATGTGTGAGGGGGCCACGTTCCTGAGGGGCCCCAGGCCTGGGAGGGGCCCCATGACCCTGAGTCATCCTCACCTGCGAGGAGTCCCGGGTCCTTGATGAGACTCCATGAAGACATTTGAGGGGGACCCCCCCCAGCCTGTCCCTGGAAGGAGCCTCTCACACCTCAGTGGGGTCCCAGTTTGGGCCAGGGAACTCTCAGCAGGATGCCAGGAAGGGCTTTGTGGGAACCCCCCCACCACCTGGTCATCCTGGGGGTCGGGCTCAGCAGTGTTTTGCTTGGGACTTTTCGGTCGCAGCCCAGGGTCTTTGGGCGCTTCCGGATCTCTGCAGAGGATGGGGTTCTCCCTGGCTCTGAGCTCTGGGGGGATCAAGCAGTGCTGGATGGTGCCCAGACCCTCCACGTGCACAGCTGCCTTCAGCAGCCAAATCCCCCCTGCTCGGCTGTTGCAGCAGCTTCTGGGGTTCCTCCCATCCCCTCAAACTCAGCCTCTTAGGGCGCCTTGCAGTTTATTCCTGCACCTCCAGTTCCCGAACATTCCTCATAGAGGAGTGCTTACATCCCCAGCCTTCAGTGCGGAGATGCGGGAGGGGGGCCAGCGGTAGTGGGGGCACGTTCTGTTCAGCCAGTGAAGGTCATTTCCCAGGGAAGCCGAAAGGGTGGGTCAGGCCAGATGTGTGTGGGGGCCCGCACCCTGCGCTCCTTGGGGTTCCGGCGTCCCGGGGGTGGGGGGTGGGGAACATGTGGCCCGCCACGGTGACAGAGAAGGAGCTTGAAGTGCCACACCAGCGGTGCAAACTTGGGCGCCCTCTCAGAGGTGGCGGCTGCAGGCCGAGAGGGCCCAGCTCCGGGCCCTGCGCCCACCTGCCCGTGGGGGCTCACGGTGGCCGGGCCGTGCCCTCACAGGAGGTGCGGGAGACGCGGCGGCGGCACGAGCGGCGCCTGGTGGAGGTGGACAGCAGCCGGCAGCAGGAGTACGACTTCAAGGTGGCGCAGGCCCTGGAGGAGCTGCGGGGCCAGCACGACGAGCAAGTGAGGCTGTACCGGCAGGAGCTGGAGCAGACGTACCAGGCCAAGGTGTGCTGGGGCCCCGCGCCTGGCCTGCCCTCTCTAGGCCCGGTCCTGGGCCGCCCTGGCCAGGCTCCACCCCCCCTGCTGCCTTCTCTAAGAGGCCCCGCCCCCGGGTGCCCTTTCCAGGCCCCGCCCCCGGATAACCTGCTTGAGGCCCCGACCCCGGAACACCCTCTCTAGGCCCCCCACACACACACCTCTGTAGGCCTTGGGCTGTGGTCTCCAGACCCCGCCCTCTCCAAGCCCCGTCTCTGGGCTGCAGTCTCAGCGGTTCTGGGCCGCCCCTGCCAGGCCCCGCCCCCCGGGCTGCCGCCTATAGGAGGTTCCGCCTCTGGGCCGGCCTCTCCGGGCCCCGCCCCCGGACTGCCCTCTGTAGGCCTTGGGCTGCAGGCTCCAGACCCCGCCCTCTCTAAGCCACGCCTCTGGGCCGCCCCTGCCAGGCGCCGCCTCTGGGCTGGCCTCTCCAGGCCCCGCCCCCAGATTAACCTCTTCAGGCTCCACCCCTGGGGCATTCCTCTCTAGGCCCCACCCCCGGACTGCCCTCTGTAGGCCTTGGGCTGCGGTCTCCAGACCCCGCCCTCTCCGAGCTACTCCAATGGGCTGCAGCATCAGCGGTTCTGGGCCGCCCCTGCCAGGCTCCGCCCCTGGATTGCCTTCTCTAGGAGGCTCCGCCCCCGGGCCCGCCTCTCTAAGGTCCTACCCCGACCACCTCCTCCAGGCTCTGCCCCTGAGCCATTCCTCTCTAGGCACCGGCCCTGGCCGCTCTCTTTAGGCCTTGGGCTGCCGGCTCCAGGCCCCGCCTTCTCTAGGCCACGCCTCTGGGCCGCCCCCGCCAGGCCCCGCCCCCGGGCTGCCTTCTCTAGGCCCCACTCCGCTTCCAGCTGCCTGGCCCTAGGCCCCAGGCCCTGGACCGTCCTCCCCAGGCCTTGTCTCTGGGCAGCCTTCGGGCCCTGCCCTCTCTGCGGACCCAGACCCCCGGCTGGCCCTCTTGCCGGAAGAACACGCCCCTTGGCCATCGTCCTGTCTGGCCCCGCCCCACCAACCCCCTGTCACAGGGTCCTTGACCATGAGGCGGCCCCCTGCCCCCTTGTGTCCCCCCAGCTGGAGCAGGCCAAGCTGAGCTCGGACCAGAACGACAAGGCGGCCAGCGCGGCGCGCGAGGAGCTGAAGGAGGCGCGCATGCGGCTCGAGTCGCTCAGCTACCAGCTCTCGGGCCTCCAGAAGCAGGTGCGGTCCGCGGGGCCCCGGGGTGGGGTCGGGGGGGGGTGCGGGCCCGCCGGGGGCCGCCCCCTGACCCTGCCGCCCGCCCCGCCAGGCCAGCGCCTCCGAGGACCGCATCCGCGAGCTGGAGGCGGCCATGGCCGGCGAGCGGGACAAGTTCCGCAAGATGCTGGACGCCAAGGAGCGGGAGATGACGGAGCTGCGGGACGTGATGCAGAAGCAGCTGGCCGAGTACCAGGAGCTGCTGGACGTGAAGCTGGCCCTGGACATGGAGATCAACGCCTACCGCAAGCTGCTGGAGGGCGAGGAGGAGAGGTGGGGGGCGACGGGGTGGGCGGGCGCGGCGGGGGGCGCGCCCGGCGTGGCCAGGCGCCTGATGCCCGCCCCGCCTGTGCCCCCGCCCGCAGGCTGAAGCTGTCCCCCAGCCCGTCGTCGCGGGTGACCATCTCGCGGGCCACGTCGAGCAGCGGCGGCAGCAGCGTGGCGGTGTCCAGCGGGCGCGGGGGCCGGGGCAAGCGGAAACGGCTGGAGGTGGAGGTGGCGTCGGGCTCGAGCAGCGGCCTGGGCTCGGCCAGCAGCAGCCCCGGCGCCGGCGGCGGCTTCCAGGTGGCCCAGCAGGCCTCGGCGTCGGGCAGCGTCAGCATCGACGAGCTGGACCTGGACGGCCGCTTCGTGCGGCTGAAGAACAACTCGGACCAGGACCAGTCGCTGGGCAACTGGCGCATCCGGCGGCAGGGGGCGGACGGCGAGGAGATCGCCTACAAGTTCACGCCCAAGTACGTGCTGCGCGCCGGCCAGACCGTCACGGTAAGTGGGAACATTGGGGACAGGCCCGTGGTCACAGCCGCCCCTTCCCGCGTGCACCTGGCACTGTCCCGCAGGGCGTGGGGGTGTCCCAGGGGGTCCCCCGAGCCTGCCTTGTTTGCCGCTGTGGAAGCCCAGAGCTGCTGTGGGCTTCCGTCTTCTCCAAGTGCCCACGTGGAAGAGGCTCCCTTTGTGTTTGTTTTTGTTTTGGGGTCACTCCCAGCAATGCTCAGGGGTTACTCCTGGCTCATGCACTCAGGAATTACTCCTGGTGGTGCTCGGGGGACCCTATGGGATGCTGGGATTCGAACCCAGGTCGGCCGCGTGCAAGGCAAACGCCCTACCGGCTATGCTATTGCTCCAGCCCGGGGGATCCCTTTCTGGTCCGACCCTGCAGCTGGGATTGACAAGGTTCTGTCCTGTGTCCCCAGGTGTGGGCAGCTGGGGCTGGGGTGACCCACAGCCCCCCGTCAACGCTGGTATGGAAGAGCCAGAGAAGCTGGGGTGCCGGCGAGAGCTTCCGGACTGTGCTGGTCAACTCTGATGGGGAGGTGCGTGTCCCCACCCGGGTTCGGGGGGGGGGGGGAGGCTCCCGACCCTGCGACCTGGGTCTGGGCCTCCGGCCCCTGGACAACACCAGTATGGCTCTTGTCCCCAACAGGAAGTGGCCCAGCGCACGGTGAAGCAGAGCTTGGTGGTGGCGCCGGAGGCCGAGAACGGGGAGGAGGAAGAGGAGGGAGCCGAGTTCGGGGAGGAGGACCTCTTCCACCAGCAGGTAGAGGCGGGAAGAGGGGGGCTGCCCCTGCTGGTCCGCAGGGGAGGCTGCCGCAGAGGGTTGTGGTGGCGTATGGGGGGTGGCGGTGCTGTCTGCTGACTCCCCACCCCCCTCTCAGGGAGACCCCAGGACCACCTCTCGAGGCTGCCGCGTGATGTGAACAGGCCGCCCGCCACGCACCGTCCCCCAGAGCCACTGACACTATTTTTCTACTCTTGGCTTCTCCTTAGCCCTTGATACATTTCTAGAGAATTTTTAAGCGAACTGCCAGGATTTGGGGGGCGGGGGGTTGTCTCTGCATCATTCGTACTGGGTGGGCCCCTGCGACCCCACGCCCGTCACCACGGTCAAGGCGCGTGCTCTGGTGCCCCCGTGTTTTGAGGCCTGGGCCCCTGACAGCTAGGGAGGCAGCGGGTGGGGGAGGGGTGGGATGGGGGGGCTGCCCAGCTCCCCGGGGCGGGGAAGGGGCCAGAGCCCCCAGCTCCACAGACTTGAGGCAGACAGAGCAAGCGAGCGGGGTTTAGGGGTTGTTAGCAGCTTTCTTCTTAAGCTTTTGAAAAACCAAACTCAGAATCCAGGTTCCCTGGATTGGGCTGGGGGGGTGGGGGGACCGGGCACGATCAGGGGTACCCACGCCCACCCCCAGGGCGTTCTCTGTGGTTCAGCCCACCAGAAACCGGAACGAGGTTTCAGAACAGGTGGGGGTTCCCAGCCCTTCTCACAGACCCCGGGTGCCGTCCCATTCCTTCCACCTTCTGGAACTTTCTGCCGCCGAGGTCCTCGGCCTGCCCCCTAGGGACCCGGCGACAATGTGACTTTCAGTCTGGGCAGCAGGTGAAGGCACGGAAGGGGCGCCCGGGGAGCCGCCCGAAAGCAGGCGGTGGTGACAGCCCCATCCCTCTGCAGTGGAGGGGCCTCTGCCCGGCCCTCCCCCCGGGGTGGGGGCAGGACAGATTCCCGGGGAGCCCAGCACTCCCCGTTTTCCCACCGTGCCTTGTGCCGGGGCCGAGCACCCCCTCTCCCCAGCGCCCCGATTCCACACAGCTCACTGTCTCAGCTTCCCAAGATCTCGGCCAATCTTTCCACTCCCCCCCCCCCCTCCACTTCCTGCCGGCCCCCCACCCTCACCCCCTAGGTCAGCTCACCGTTTACACCTTTTCCCTGCCGAGATACACAGAAGTTATTTTTTTAATGGATATTTATTTTTTTACATGGGTCAATACAGAGATGGCTGGGGACCCACTTTGGGGGGGTTCCCCTGCCGGCCTCCCCAGCATGGCGGGGCAGTCTCTGGGCCCCCTGTGACCCCCCCCTCTCCCGCCCCCATGGCAAACTCACTTCAGAAAGTGCAGCTCGAGTCTTAGCGACGCTATACTGAGCCAGGAGGCAATGGCCAGAATCCTCGGGGGACCCCCCCCTGCCCTCCTCTCCCTCCCTCCCCAGCTCTCCAGGGTTTGTTGGTTCTGAGGAGCGTCAGAGGGTTCACCCCGGGCCCCCAAAGGGGCCAGTGGCAGAGGAAACTGCTGGGTTTAGAACCTTCTAACTTGAGTGCCTAGAACCTTCCACAGCCCCAGTGCTGGGTCCTCGGTGGAGGTCTGGGGGGGTGCTGTTACCCCAGAGGGAGACATCACCAAAGCAGCACCGAGGAGGCACGGGCAAGTCTGTTCTGGGCAGAGAGGCGCCAAAGAGCCTGTGGAATGGGGTCGGTCCCTCCGGACCCGTGTGCCGACTTCTGGCGGGTTTCTAGCACTTCCCCGAGGGTTCAGGAGAACTGATGGGTGGGTCTCTGGACAGCTGCACTCTTACCTGGTTATGGCATCTGACCCGTGTTGGGGAGGGTCTAAAACTATATTGAAATTGGGGTGTGTTGGGGGGGGGAGTAGCCAGCCCTTCTTGGGTGGCAAGCATGGCTTGGGGCCATGAAGGAAAGGTCAGGTCCCCACCCCGGGGAGCATGGTCGGGGTGTCGGGCAGAGGCTGCCACGTTTCTCCCTGCCCCTTCCCCTTGGCAGTCGGGGTGGGGCTGAGCACTGTTACAGAAACGGGCGCCTCTGCCCGTTTTGGGGAGAGGAAGTGGGCGTGGGAGGCCCGCTGGACAGTCCTTCGCAATCATGGATTTGGAAGCAGCAGAAATCACTGTTACAATGGGGCGGGGGGGAGGGGCGGGGGGGCAACTACACGAGACACACGGTGGCGCCCAGCACGCCCGGCTGCACGGTGGAGCCAGCCCTAGCGAGGAAGGCGGACCTGCCTGAGGAGGGGGGTCCCTAAGGGCCTTGCCGGCCGCCGCCGTGTTCACCCGCAGATGTTTCTGCCCACCCAGCCGCAATCATGTTTGTCTTCGCATGTCCCCGTGGGCGCGCCGACCCCCGTCTCCTCTGGTCCCGAGTCCCGGGAAAGGTCAAGGTCTTCGGTCGCCGCAAGTAGCCTGGGCAGAGTGTGCCGCCAGGCTCGGCGGTCGGCGCGGGCGTCTAGTGCACACGTGTCGCGGATTTTGCATGCCAAAATGGGTTTTTTGTTGTTTTTTTGTTTTGTTTTGTTTTTCCTCCAATGATTTGTAATACGCATTTTATGACTGGAATCTTTTGTTTTTGTACAACACTCCAATAAAGAAAATTTTGGTTTTAACTCCTGCCTCGGTTTCCCGCGGAGCTGGGGCGCCGGAACGACGCCCCGCAGAGGACCCAGCCACCCCGTGACTCGTGCCTGGGTCTCCGGCCCCATAACCAGGCCCTTTCTTAGGGCACGTGACGCGCACAGCCACGTGACTCGTCGGCGAATCAGGGTTGGGGCGCGGTCGCAAGCCCCGCCTCTCGCTAGGTCGTGCCGGAAGTCCGGCGGGGGCGCGCGGCCTTCTGGGACTTGTAGTTCCCCCCGCGCCGTCCCGGGCGCGTTTCCCGTGGTGCCCCGCGCGGCCCGGCTTCCGGCGCGACCCGGGTCGGCGCGCGCGGCCTGGGTCCGGTTGACTTTGCGGAGCCATGGAGGGTGGCTTCGGCTCGGATTTCGGGGGCTCGGGCAGCGGCAAGCTGGACCCGGGGGCCATCATGGAGCAGGTGAAGGTGCAGATCGCCGTGGCCAACGCGCAGGAGCTCCTCCAGGTGCGGGGCCGGGCCCGAGGGGGGCGGCGGGGGCGGCCCCCGGAGCGGGGACGGGCGGCGCGGCTCAGGGCTCGCGTGTCCACCCCCGCAGAGGATGACGGACAAGTGTTTCCGGAAGTGCATCGGGAAGCCGGGGGGCTCCCTGGACAATTCGGAGCAGGTGAGCCGCCCTGACCCCTCGGGCACGCGGGGGGGGGGGGTTGAGGGGCCCGGGGGTCGCCCAGCCCTGAGCCGCGCGCCCCCGCCCTCCCGCCCGCAGAAGTGCATCGCCATGTGTATGGACCGCTACATGGACGCCTGGAACACCGTGTCCCGCGCCTACAACGCGCGGCTGCAGCGGGAGCGAGCCAACATGTGACCGGCCCCTCCCCCCACGCCCCCCGGCCCCCGGGCCCAGCCCCGCACCGGCCGGCGGGCACGAGCGTTGCCTCGCGCGCGGACAGCACGAAGGCCGGGACAGTTGGGGCCTGGCCGCCCGCCCCTCCCTCTCTCCCCCTCCGCAGACCCGGCCACCCCACGACCTGACGGTGGCGAACGCAGCTGGCGTTTTGAACCAGGGACTCTAGAACTTTCCAAAGGGGTGGGCCGACCACTGGTGTGCCCAGCTCAAACCGCATGCCTCCGGGTGCCTAGAGTGTTCGTTTGGAGCTGGAGGATGGGGGGAGGGGGTCTTGTTGAGTCCCCCGATTTGGAGGACTAATAAACGGTGGAGGTGTGGCGTCAGAACCGAGACCCCGGCCCACCCATGCCGAAGCGCTGTGGCCTGTCCTTCCCACCCCCCAGCCCCTGCCCACCCCATGCCCCACCCCCACGTGGAAGCGCCAAGCCAGGACCAAGGGCTCTTTATTGCACCCAAGTTCGCAGACCACCCGCAGGCCCCCGCCCGGATCCTGACTTTCCACCCGGAGCGGGGTGGCCGGACAGCGTCCCCCGCTGCTTCCTCTCTGGTCCAGCCGCGCAGGGACAGTCACTCCTGGATGTTCTGCTCTATCCAGCCCCTCACGGCCGCCACCCGGGTGTAGACGCCGGGGAAATGGGGCCGGCCACAGCCGTAACCCCAGCTGGTGACCCCGGTCAGCACCCACCGGCCGGTCGGCTCCCTGCAGGCCAAGGGTCCCCCGGCGTCCCCCTGAGCGGGAGGACAAGGAGCGCTGAGCGCAGCGCCCCGTGCCATGCTGCCTGGGAGAGCCCGCGCCCCCAAAACCCCCCACCCACGGGCAGGCCCGGGGCTCACCGAGCAGCTGTCCACGCCGCCCTGCGGGAAACCGGCGCACAACATGCGGCTACTGATTTGCACCGGGTAGAAGCGCCGGCACGTGTGCTCGCTCAGGACGCGCACGGCCGCCTTCTGCAGCTGTCGCGCCATGCCACCTGCGGGCGACCCACCCAGGTGGGACAGGGTCACCCCGCCTGGGGCGGCGGGGGATCGCGGGCGGCGGCGTCCCCCGCACCTACCTCCCTCGCGCAGGGACCCCCAGCCGGTGATGACGCAGCGCACGCCGTCGGGAGCGCGGGGCGCGGGCAGGCAGATGGGTCGCACCAGGCGGCCACCGCGCACCGGCCCCGCCAGCTGCAACAGCGCCACGTCGTAGTCGAGCGTGTAGGGGTTGTAGAAGGGGTGTTTGAAGACGCGCGCCACGCGCCCCAGCTGCCCGTCGGCGCCGCCCAGGCTGGGGGTCCCCAGCAGCGCCGCCCACTGTTTGGGGTCTCCGTAGCTGCGGGGGACCCGGGGTCAGCCGGCTCCCCGTTCCCGCAGGGAGGAGACCCCGGGGGCCCCAGGCATCCTGCAGCCCACCCCTCGCCCGCGGGGCGCGCCCTGAGCCGGGCATCTCCCGGGCGCGTTGCCAGGCGGGCCTGGCTTGAGGGTACCCCGCCCCGCCCCCCGGTGGATTTGGTCCAAGGGGAGGGTGCACGCGGGGGGGGTCGGGGTGCAGACTCACACGTCGAAGCAGTGCGCGGCCGACAGCAGCCACCGGTCGGCCACCAGCACGGCTCCGCAGCGGTGCTCGCGCAGGCGCAGCCGCAGACTCGCCTGCCACGGCCAGTCCCCGGGGCCCGCCGCGCTGCCGCCCACGATGCGGGTGAGCGCGCCCGCCGGCGCCACGCCGCAACCTGCGAGGGGCGGGGGCGGCCGCGGAATGAGACCTTCCCCCTACATACACCCCAACATCCTCTGGACTTTGCTCAAAGCACCTGTCTGTCCCCAGAACCTCCGCTTTGGGCTAAGGTCTGTGCCCCGGGGCCTTTGCACAAGCTCACATGCTCTCCCTGTGCTGTCCCGAGGGGTTGTGGGGACCCCACTCCTACTCAAGGTGAACCCTCAGGACGACATCGGTGGACTCGAAGGGTGCTGCAAGAACCCCATTCCTGCCTAGAGACACTTAGACTCTGTTAGTTCCCGTGGGTCCCACCCTGAGGCCCCCTCCCATCCAGCGGGGTGCTCAGAGACTCTGATTCCCACATGTTCCTGGACCCCGTTACCAGCTGTGGCGGCCCCTTGGGGACCCTGCACCCAGCCCTGGGACAGGCCGCCCTCACCCCCAAGGCTGGTGGCAGCAGAGGGTCCCTGCACCCCCATCTCACCCGTGCTCACCCACCATTTCCCCCTACTCCCAACAAGGGGCATTTTGGGGAGCTGCCTCCCTTCTTGGGTCCCAAGTCCCTGTCTTGCTGTGGTTGCAGGGGTCCCAGGACCCCTAGACATCGGCCCTTTCCCTTGCACACCTTTTGCCATGGCCCCGGGTACAGTCTGTCCCATGCAGGGCCCTCACAGGGTGTCCTGGGGGCTGGGCATCCTTGCTGGGGGCACTGGAAGGAGCTTCTCTGCTTCTCTGGAATGGGGGAGCTACCCCCAAAACTAAAGGCCCGAGAGAGGGGCACCAGGAAGCAGAAGGGCTGAGAAGTCAGGAAGTCACTGTCCTGGCACCCCAAATTCCCTCGGTTGATGGCCTGTGGAGTGAGCCTTCCACCAGAGCCCAGGGGACACCCCCCAGCTGCCAGGACCAGAGTGGGGGGCTCTGTGTCTCCCACAGTTACACGCGGCAGCAGGAATCTTGAAAGAGGGAGTCAGGTGACACCACCCAAAGGATTGAGCATGGAGCCCCAGCTCCCCCCAGCACCTTGGGGTGCCCTGAGTTCCCCCTGAGCACCCCCAGGTGTGTCCTGAGAGGAAAGGGGGGCCCCAAATGAAGTGGCTGTGGGGGAGCTCGTTCGTGATATGCCCCAAGAAGGGGACTAGGGACACCCATGGGGGGTGGGGGGTCTGTGGTCCCCTCCATGCTGAGACACGAGGTTCCAGGACACTTCAGGGCAACGGAGAAGCTTGTGGCTTCATTATTTGGGGATGGTGCTTAGGGATACCCTAGTGGATTCGGGGGCCCCTGTGGGGTGCTGGAGGTCAAACCCGGATCAGCCGCGTGCAAGGCAAGCACCCTCCCCGCTGTCCTATCGCCCTGGCCCTGCCTGAGTGGCTTGAGCCGCCCAGTTGTGAGTCGAGGGGGACAGGAGCGCCCCACAATCCCTCCCTCCCTCGCCCCAGCCCCTACCTGGCAGCTGGGTGCTCAGGGTGGCTGTCGGGATGTGGGGCGGCGGAGTCGGCCCCCACGAGGAGGGCCCCGGGCTGGTGCTCGTGCTGTGGCCAGCCGGGCTGCCGGAGCTGCTGGTGGTTGGGGACGAAGCGGTGCTGGCCGGGACCCCCGGGGCCAGGAGGCCAGCCGTGGTGGTCCCCGGGGGAATGGGGGGCGGCGTGGAGAGGGGCCGCGGCGCCATGGTATCCAGGATCCACCCTTTCAGCCGGGTGATGCGCGTGTACACCCCCGGCTTCCTGGCCTGGGCACAGCCAATGCCCCAGCTCACAATGCCCGCCAGGTAGAACACGCCAGGGGTCTCCTCGCAGGCCAGGGGGCCCCCGGAATCACCCTAAGGAGGAAGCAGAGTGCCGCCATCACAGGTTCCCTGAACCCCCCAACCCCTGGCAGGCAGGGGTCTGTCCGCTCCCCAGAACCTGGACAGACGGTCCCGAGCTCCTCACCCACACAGCTGTGATCCCTAATCTGCCTGGCTCTGCTTGCTGGGTTTTGTTTTGCTTTGGGGGCCATACCCAGCCAGGCTCAGGGGCCACTCCTGGTGGAGCTCCCGGAAGGGTGGGGGTGGGGAGGGACCTCCGTGGGATGCCAGGGATCAAACCCAGGTTGGCCGTGTGCAAGGGAGGAAGTGTGAAGAGGCGGTGGAGGGGTCGGGGCTGGTGGTGCCCTGGGGACTTGCCCATGGCAGTGCCTCTTGGGCTCAGCCACCAAAGCCACAGGCACGGTGGCACGCAGGGCAGCACCCTCCCTTCACACACACACACACACACACACACAAACACACAGCCAGCACCTGAGCCCATGACCTTCACATGCTTACTTTGCTGGCGAGGGGGGGTGGCAGCTGGCACAGGAGAGGCTTGGCACTTGGCAGTAGGGACTGAGTTTGCACCTTTGACATGCTGGGAATTAGGTTCTTGGCCCTCCCAGCCTCACCTCCCGCGAGGCCTTTTTTAATTGACAGAGGAAAGGGACAGTGGCACGGACGCAGTTAGCGCCCCCTACAGGCAGGATTGTCTCAGCTGTGGAGCCAGGCTCCCAGCCCCTCCCACCAGGCTTCCCAGCTGTAGAAAGTCCCAAGTTCAACGTGAAACCTTCCAAGGAACCTAAAACATTCTGCAACTTGCTTTACTACCGGAGTGCTTTTTTTTTTTTTTTTGAGGAGGCACTAGGGACCACACCCAGCTGTGCTCAGGGCTGACTCCTGTCTCTGCGCTCTTGGCTGGCTCCAGAGACCTTATGGGGTGCTGGGGACCAAACCCCAGTCGGCAGCCTTTCCCTCTGTGCCTTGTCTCTGGCCACCTGCAGCGCTTTTAAAGAAACAAGCTCAGGGGGGCTGGAGCAATAGCACAGCGGGGAGGGTGTTTGCCTTGCACGCGGCCGACCCGGGTTCGATTCCCAGCATCCCATATGGTCCCCTGAGCACCACCAGGGATAATTCCTGGGTGCAGAACCAGGAATAACCCCTATGCTTCGCTGGGTGTGACCCAAAAAGCAAAAATAAAATAAAATAAAGATACAAGCTCAGGGGGCGTGGGGTGGGGGAGAAATTTAAAGGGATGATCCCTGAGCAATGGACCCAGAGTAGTCCCTGAGCCTTACCAGGTGTCCCCCCTGCTTTCCAAAACACACTCATAAGAGCTGACGAGTTGCTTGGTAGAAATTTGTCACTTATAGGGGCTGGGGCAATACCACAGAGGGCATTTGCCTTGCAAGTGCCGGCCTGGGTTTGATTCCCCGGCATCCCATAGGCTCATCTGAGCACCACCAGGAGTGACCCCTGAGTGCAGAGCCAGGAGTAAGCCCTGAGCACCAGAAAGAGGGGGTGGCAGGAGGGATGGAAGGGAAGGAGGAAGGAAGGAGGAAGGCCGATTGGAATCGGTCTCCTGTGAATCTCTCGCTTCTCTGCTTCACACAAGCCCTCGGGGCTACCCGATGGGAGAGTAGACGGGGGTGGCCACCTCCTGCCCCAGGCTCACCTGGCAGGAGTCCACTCTGCCCTCCAGGAAGCCGGCACAGAGCATCCTGTCTGTGAGGGAGAAGTTGTAGAGGGCGCTGCAGGCCTTCTGGTCGATGATGCCCACCGAGGCTCTCTGCAGCACGTCGGGCTTGGTGGCTGCAGGGAAGGGCCCCCCCCCCCCAATTCCTTTAGCCTGAGCCCCCTGCAACCAGCTCCGACCACAAAGAGGAATACTCAGGACTCGTGGGGAGGTGCACCCCAGCCTCCCCTCCCAGGATGGAAATCCCTCCTCTCCACCCACTGCACACCCCCAGCAAGGCCTTTCGTTTCCCCGACAGCAGGAAGTTCTGGGGTCTACAAGCTTTTTCTCTAATGGACCCCAAACCAGCTCAAGGGGCTTGAGTGTGGCTATGCAGGCGAGAGCCTCCAAGTTCAGTCACAAGCCCTGAGCTGGGAGTGGGCCCCAAAAAGCAGAAAAAGAAAAATAAAGGCCTGAGAGGTATAGCTCTGAGTCACCTGCCCCTGTCGGGGGACGGGTCTGCCAATAAAACTTTATTCAGACAGAACAGGGCCTGCAGCTGGCTTTGCCAATAAAACTTGATTCAGAGCACAGGCTGCAACTAGCTTTGCCAATAAAACTTTATTTAGACAAGAGCACAGGTTGCAACTGACTTTGCCAATTAAACTTTAGTTAGACAGAGCAGAGGCTGCAGCTGGCTTGGCCAATAAGACCTTATTCAGAATGAGCCTCGGGCCCAGGGTTTGCAACCCCCGAGGATATGGGGCGTTGGACAGTTTGCAGGGGCCAGAGACAACGGTGGCGGGCTCTGGGGGAAGTGCCCAGGTATCCTGGCCTGGGCCCTCAACTCACCGTTTCCCTCCTGCGTGTTTCCCCACCCTGAGATCATGCACTTCCGGCCCACCGGAAACTTCTGGATGGCCAGGGGGAGGCAGACAGGCTGCACGAACTTGTTGAAGCGCAGGGGCCGTGCCAGCTCCAGCACGGCCACGTCGAAGTCCAGGTTGGCCGGGTTGTACTGAGGGTGCAGCACCGCCCGCCGGAGCCCCAGCTTCACCGGGCTGCCCCCGATGCCCGCCAGCGATGCAGTGCCCAGGTGGGCCCGCACGTGCTCCACCTTAGTGCTGCGGAGAAGTGGGGCTCAGACACCCGCCACGCCCGCCCCCAGCCGGGAAGAGCTGTGGGGGCCGGGGGCGCGGGAGGATGGGGGCCTGTCAGATTCTCCCCCCTCCCCACGTGGAGCGGACAAAGGCAGGGAAGGAGCCTCCACATCCCCCAAGACGTGCCCCGCTCCCTTTCCATCCTGTTTCCCGTTCATCCTTTGCTGCCGGATATCCAGGCTCGACGGAGGAGGATGGCATGGTGGTGGTGGGAGATATCCGGTGTGGGGTGCAGGGCCACCCCCCAAGCCCCCCCCCCCCCACGGAGGCAGGCCTTACTGGTTGAAGCAGTGAGCAGCCGACAGCAGCCAGCGATCGCCAACGATGGTGGCGCCGCAGAAGTGCCGGGTCCCCTCCTTCAGGCTGGCCTGCCAGGGCACGTCCCCCGAGGCGGCGCCCAGGCCCCCCACGATGCGGGTGGGCTTCTCCAGGGCTGGCCTGGCCCCGCACTCTGGGGAATGGGGGACATGAGATGGGAGGCTCAGGACCTCAGAGCTGGGGCACCGGCAGGCAGAGATGAAACGGCTCCCAGATCCCCCTCTGAGAATCGGAACCCCCCCGGGGTGGGGACTAGGGTAAGAGAGCGCAAGGGAGAAGGAGGGTGCCAAGGTGGTCCGGGCTGGCGCTGGTGCTTTTTTTTTTTCTATTTTTTTTTGGGGGGGGGTCACACCTTGCAATGCTCAGGGCTGACTCCTGGCTTTGCATTCAGGGATCCCTCCTGGCAGGGCTCAGGGGGCCCCTATGGGGTATCAGGGATCAGCCACTTGGGTCAGCCACGTACAAGGCCAACCCCTTCGCCACTGTTCTGTCACTCCACCCCCTGGAGGTGTTTCCTGGGCACAGAGCTTCGGTCTGGTGAGGATGGAAAGATCTCAGAGGGGCTAGAGAGAAAGCAGGGAGGGCGCTGGCCGTGCACACAGCCCATCTGGGTCTGATCCCCAGGACCCTTACGGTCCTCTGAACTCTGCTGGGAGTCAGCCCTGAGCATGGCCGGGTGTACCACCCCTGCCGCCCTCCAGCCTCCCATGCCCAATAATATCCAGGGAAAAGGGTGGTGGGAGGGAGGGGGAAAAATGAAGGTGATGAGGCAGGAGAGTTGACCAGCTGTTTTGTGGCCAGTGGGCTAGAAAGATGCCGCAGAGAAGACGCCTGGAGGCTCTTGCCCTGAGCTCACCATCATGGTCTCTGGCTGCCTTTATTTTTTGCTTTTTAAAAAAAATTTTTTTTTTGCCTCTTGGGGCACACCCAGTGATGCGCAAGGGTTACTCCTGGCTCTGCACTCAGGAATTACTCCTTGGTGGTGCTCGGGGGACTATATGGGATGCTGGGAATCGAACCTAGGTTGGCTGCGTGCAAGGCCAACACCCTACCCGCTGTGCTATTGCTCCACCCTGGCTGCTTTGGTTTTTATTTGGTCTGCAGGCCACATCCAGCATTGCTTAGGGCTGACTCCTGGCTCTGTGCTCAGGCAATCACTCCTGGCAAATTCAGGGGACCTCCCCCCATGGGGATGCCGGGGATCCACCCCAGATTCACCCGGTGCCAAACAAAACGCCCTCTCCGCTGTCCTGTCGCTCCGGCCCTCTCTAGCTTCCTGTAGATGCTTCTGGACCTCTCCTGGTCCTCCCCTGTAGGACTTGCTGGACCGTGATCTCCCCAAAGCTGCAAGGGGGCCCAGGCGCTGGCCCCTGTGCCTGGACAGACATCACTAATCAACCACCCATCTCTCTCCCAGGGACAAAGCCAGAACCAACGCATCTGAACTTGCAGGGGACGCGCCCCCCAGCACAGCCCGTTTCCCCTTCCAATACCTGGTAGTTTGGCTGCGGTGGCCAAGCCCAGAGGCGCCGTGCTGGCGGCCGGCGCGGGTCTGCTGGGGGTGTCCAGCACCTGCCCTTTGGGACTCGTGGGCCAGGCAGGGCTGGGCGTGCTGGGCGCCGGGGCGGCCGTGGGCGCCGGAGGCCTGCTGGCCGCGGACATGACCTCCAGCATCCAGTCCCGCAGTCGTGTCACTCGCGCGTAAACCCCTGGGCGCCGCGCCTCGGCGCACCCGATGCCCCAGCTCACGATGCCCGCCAGAAAGAAGCGGCCGGAGGGCTCCTCGCAGACCAGGGGGCCTCCCGAGTCTCCCTGGGGGACAGAGGCACGTCCGTGGGGTGCAGTCGGGGCTCCCCGGCCACAGCTCCCCTCAGAATCTCCCTTCCAGCCTGCCCCAGGAGGAAATGAGAGCTGATGCGTGACCGCTGGATACCGCGAGCTCCGCACCTGCCAAAATCAACCAGGTCAGGGGCTGGAGCGATAGCACAGAGGGCAGGGTGTTTGCCTTGTAAGCGGCCGACCCGGGTTCGATCCCCAGCATCCCATATGGTCCCCGGAGCACCGCCAGGAGTAATTCCTGCGTGCAAAGCCAGGAGTAACCCCTGAGCACCGCCGGGTGTGACCCAGAAAACAAAAACCCAAAATCAACCAGGGCTTTTTATGGGGCCACTAAGGTCACTTTCAGCTGGGTCACTGGCCACTGGCCACTTAAAATCCAAACTTGAGGACTGGAGAGATATGAGAGCGGGAAGGCTCTTGCATGGCCTGCAGCTGACCTGGGTTACCTGGGTTCAATTCCCGTGACCCCATGGAGTCCCCTCAGCCCTGCCTAGAATGGTTCCTGAGCACTGCTGGATGAAACCTAACCTCCGCCCACCCAGAAAAAAAAAAAATCCCAAGCCTGAGTAAGCAATATTCCCTCCCCTTCTTGTCCTGGTAGATCTATTATAACCTCACCCTTTGCTTAGGTTGACAATCTGGCTGTCCAACAAGAGCCACCAGACAGCTCACTGGTAGAATACCAACTTTGTTTGTTTGTTTTTTGGGTCACACCCGGCGATGCACAGCGGTTCTTCCTGGCTCTGCACTCAGGAATCACTCCTGGCGGGGCTCAGGGGACCCTATGGGATGCTGGGAATCGAACCCGGGTTGGCCGCGTGCGAGGCAAACACCCTACCCGCTGTGCTATCGCTCCAGCCCTGGTAGAATACCAACTTTAAAAGGAGGAGGCAGGGCTGGAGCGATAGCACAGCAGGTAGGGCATTTGTCTTGCATGCGGCTGACCCGGGTTCGATTCCCAGCATCCCATAGAGTCCCCTGAGCCCCGCCAGAAATAATTCCTGAGTGCATGAGCCAGGAGGAACCCCTGTGCATCGCCAGGTGTGACCCAAGAAGAAAAAAATTGAGGGGGCTGTCCCAATGCTAAGAATGAGAGAGCACCCCCCTGTTTAACATAGGGCCCAAAAGTGGGGCTCACCTGGCAGGAATCCACCTTCCCATCCAGGTAACCGGCACACAGCATCCTGTCGGTGAGGGCGTGGCCGTACAGGCTGGAGCACAGAGCCTGGTCCAGCAGCTCGACCGTGGCCTTCTGCAGAGTCTCCGGCTTGACCACTGGCCAGCAAAGGGACACCCAAAGGAGCTGAGCATCCCAGAGGTCCTGCTCAGTCGCCTCGAGAGAGCAAAGCACACCCCCTCCCTCAACTGCCCCTGTAGCAAGCCCACCCGCTGCGTCAGCACTCAGAAATAAGTCAAGGGGCTGGAGTGATAGCACAGCGGGTAGGGCGTTTGCCTTGCACGTGGCCCGACCCGGGTTCGATTCCCAGCATCCCATATGGTCCACCGAGCATGGCCAGGAGTAATTCCTGACTGCATGAGGCAGGAGTAACCCCTGTGTATCACTGGGTGTGATCCCCCCCAAAACAAAGAAATAAGTCAAGACGGGGCTGGAGCGATAGCACAGCAGTTAGGGCGTTTGCCGTGCACATAGTCGACTCGGGTTCGATTCCCAGCATCCCATAGGGTCCCCCAAACACCGCCAGGAGTAAGTCCTGATCGCAGAGCCAGGAGTAACCCCTGAGCATTGCTGGATGCGGCCCAAAAACCAAAAGATAATAATAATAATAATAAGCTAAGACTCGTCACCCCCAAACAGCCACTTCCCTCTCCCAACCTCCCACACTCTGCACCTCCTCTTCCTTGACTTTGCTGATTTTGGTCTCTCTCCGCTAGGACCTTTTCTCACCTCAGCAGCTCCTCATATACTCTGGTGAAGGTGGGAGTGGCTCATCACCTGGCTCAGCCTAAAAGGCTACCCTGCCTACCCCAGGGTCTTTGCATGTGCTGTTCCAGCTGTTTAACATGCTGGTCCCTGCTTCTCTCTTTTCGCTCCTCTTCCATGTTGCTCATCCACCCATATGCTGGCAGGACTGTACTCAGGGCCTTATATAAATGCAAGACAAGTGCTCTTCTGCCAAGCCTGCTTCTGGACCCAACTCTTCTCTATTTTTGCTTTGTTTTTATTTTGGGGAATACACCCGGTGGTACTCAGGGATTCTTCCTGGCTCTGTGCTCAGAAATCACTTGTGGCAGTGCTCCGAGGATTCTATGGGATGCCCGGATCGAATCCAGGTCGGCTGTGTGCAAACACCCCACCTGTCGTACTCACTCCTGACCGAACCATAGGGGGACAAATCTTTGGTTTTGTTTTGGGTCCACACTGGTTGTTGCTCAGGGCTGATTCCTGGCTCTGAACTCAAGAATTATTCCTGGCGGTGCTCGGGGGACCATATGGGATGCCAGGAAATGAACCCAGGTTGGATGCATGCAAGGCAATTGCTCTACCTGCTGTACTATCTCTCCGGTTCCTAGGGGAACAGGTTTTTTTTTTCCTGCTTTTTGGGTCACACCTGGCGATGCACAGGGGTTACTCCCGACTCTGCAGTCAGGAATTACTCCTGGCGGTGCTCAGGGGACCATATGGGATGCTGGGAATCAACACTGGTCGGCCGCGTGCAAGGCAAACGCCCTACCTGCTATGCTATCGCTCCAGCCCCTAGGGGGACAATTTTTATCAAAAATAAATAAATAAATAAAAAACTAGCACCACAGAAACAAGCTTGACCCTCCCCTCTTCTCTTTTGTCCTGGTTAACGGGGGGGGGGGGGACCAGGTAGAGACAGTAAGGGCCACAGACATGGGGGGAGGGCACTCGCCTTGCACACGGGTGACCCGCAACCCACAGGGTCCCTGGAGCACGCCAGGAGTGATCCCTGGGTTTGGAGCCTGAAGTTGCCCCTTAGCATGAGGAGGAGGAGGAGGAGGAGGAAGGAGGAGGAGGAGGAGGAGGAGGAAGAAAAAGAAGACAGCAAGCGAGTAGCTGGGTGCAGGGTTCCCGGGGGCTGTACGTGCGCTCTTGGGGGGTTTCCGGGGGCGAGGAGGGGGGGGAGGAGGAGGAAGAGGAGGAGGAGGAGGAGGAGGGGAGGAGGAGGAGGAGGAAGGAGGAGGAGGAAAGAGGAGGAGAGGAGGAGGAGGAGAAGGAGGAGGAGGAGGAGCAGGAGGAGGAGGAGCAGGAGGAGGACGAAAGAGGAGGAGGGGAGGAGGAGGAGGAGGGGAGGAGGAGGAGGAGGGGAGGAGGAGGAGGGGAGGAGGAGAAGGAGGAGGAGGAGGAGGAGGAGAGGAGGAGGAAGAGGAGGAGGGGAGGAGGAGGAGTAGGAGGAAGGAGGAGGAGGAGGAGGAGAAGGAGGAGGAGAAGGAGGAGGAAGAGGAGGAGGAGGAGGAGGAGGAGGAAGAGGAAGAAAAGGAAGACAGCAAGCGAGTAGGTGGGTGCAGGGTTCCGGGGGCTGCACGCGCGCTCTTGGGGGGTTTCCGGGGGCGAGGAGGAGGGGGGGAGGAGGAGGAAGAGGAGGAGGAGGAGGAAGGAGGAGGAGGAGGAGGAAGGAGGAGGAGGAGGAGGAGCAGGAGGAGGAGGAAAGAGGAGGAGAGGAGGAGGAGGAGGAGGAGGAAAGAGGAGGAGAGGAGGAGGAGGAGGAGAAGGAGGAGGAGGAGGAGGAGGGGAGGAAGAGGAGGAGGGGAGGAGGAGAAGGAGGAGGAGGAGGAGGGGGAGGGGAGGAGGAGAAGGAGGAGGAGGAGGAGGAGGAGAGGAGGAGGAGGAGGAGGAGGAGGAGAGGAGGAGGAGGAGGAGGAGGAGGAGGAGGAGGAGGAGGAGGAGGAGGAGGAGGAGGAGGAGGAGGAGGAGGAGGAGGAGGAGGAAAAAGAAGACAGCAAGCGCGTAGCCGGGTGCAGGGTTCCGGGGGCCGCACGCGCGCTCTCGGGGGTTCCGGGGGCGCTTACGGAAATCCTCCCGGAGGTAGCCCCAGCCCGAGATGAGGCACTTCCTCCCGGCGGGGAAGACGTGCGCGGCGGCGGGCAGGCACACGGGCTGCACGCGGCGCCCGAAGGCCAGCGGACGGCGGAGCTGCAGCAGCGCCACGTCGAAGTCGGCCGAGTCGGCGTCGTAGCGCGGGTGCGGGATGATGCGCGCCACGCGCGCGCGCGCCGCGCCCGCCTCCAGCGCGCCGCCCAGCGCCGTGGTGCCCGCGTAGGCCACCCAGTCCGAGGGCGCGGCCAGCCTGCGGGCAGACGCGACTCAGGGCCGGCTCCGGCTCTGGGCTCCGGGCTGACTCCCCACTCTGTGCTCAGGGATGACTCCTGGCCCTCGGCCCGGGGCTCGCTCCTGACTCTGTGCTCAGGGCCAACTCCTGGCTCTGGGCTCAGGGCTCACTCCCGGCTCTGGGCTCAGGGCTGACTCCCCATTCTGTGCTCAGGGCTAAGTTCTGACTCTGGGCTCAGGGCCAACTCCTGGCTCTGGTCTCAGGGCTGACTCCTGGCTCTCTGCTCAGGGCTTGCTCCTGGCCCTCGGCTCAGGGCTTGCTCCTGACTCTGTGCTCAGAGCTGACTCCTGGCTCTGGTCTCAGGGCTGACTCCTGGCTCTGGGCTCAGGGCTGATTCCTGACTCTGTGCTCAGGGCTAACTCCTGACTCTGTGCTCAGTGCTGACTCCCGGCTCTGAGCTCAGGGCTGACTCCTGGCCCTTGGCTCTGGGCTCTGGGCTCAGGGAATACTCCTGGCTCTGTGCTCAGGGCTCACTCCCGGCTCTGGGCTCAGGGATGACTCCTGGTGGATAAGGGGAACCCCTGGGGTGCTGGGGATCGAACCCAGGTGATCAAACCCAAGTGCCTTCTCTGCCTATCTTTTGGGCACCCAAATGATTGGGCACCATTCAGATTGAAAACTGCACCAAAGGAGGGATGAAGAGAGGAGGGGCAGGAGGAGTCCCGGGGGGTCGCGGGGAGCATGTGGACGGAGCCTGGGATGGACCCTCAGATACACAGGCCCAGGAAGAACAAAGCCCAGGCTGGCGGGGCCCTGGATGGACAAACCCCAGGATGGTCAGACCCGGGATGGATGCACCCTCGGATAGACGGGACCCCAAGAAGGATGGATCCCAGGATGGAGGGGATCGCAGGATTAACAGGAAACCCGGAGTGGACAGGACATCAAGAAGGATGGGACCCCAAGATGCATGGAACCCCAAGATGGACAGGACTCCAGGAAGGACTGACCCCGGAATGAATGGGACCCCCGGAAGGACAGACTCCAGAGTAGACATGGCAGATTGGGACCCCGGGCCGGGTGACACATGGGTCTGCACCCCCCCAGGCTGACACTCACTCATTGAAGCAGTGAGCAGCCGACACCAGCCACCGGGCGCCGATGATCGCGGCTCCGCAGAAGTGCTCGGCGTTCTCCCTGAGGCTGACCTGCCACGGGAACTCACCGGGGGCCGCCTCCATGCCGCCCACGATCCTGCCCGGCGTCCGCCAGCCCGGCTGCCGGCCGCAGTCTGCAAGACACGATGGCACCAGGAACCCCGGAACCCCGCGGGCAGCTTCTTTTAGGGGAGGCCAGGGAGGGGGGTGGCTCACACCCGGCGATGCTTGGGGGTCTCTAAGAGATGCTGGGGATCGGATCCGGGCCGGCTGCATGCACGGCAAGCACCCTCCCCACTGTCCCATCACTCACTCAGCCCCCCACGGGCAGCTCTGAGCTGCGGTGCTGGGGACAGACCCCGGGCTGATGGAGCCGCCTGCAGCCCCTGGAGCCCGCAGATTTCCGAGGAAGCCTGGCCCTCCTCAGGCTCCGGGAGGAAGCTTCTCCTGGCTGATGCGGGAGCTTTGTTCCCTGGTGCTGTGAGTTCTGCCACCGTTAAGGTGGAAAAAGCAACCGATGGGGCGGGATGCTGGGGCCAGAGTGGAGACAAAGGTGTTGGGACACTCTGTCTCCCAAGAGAGATGCTAAAGGGCCCAGAGCCACAGCACAGCGGGGAGGGCGTTTGCCTTGCACGCGGCCGGCCTGGGTTCGAACCCCAGCACCCCGTGGGGTCCCAGCCTATGGCTCCATAGTGGTTCCTGAGCACAGAACCAGTAGTAGTAACACCTGAGCATGGCCGGATGTGGATTCCCCCCATCCAAAAAAAAAAAGGAAAGGAAAAGACGTACAAACTCTGACCCATGGCGCCTATAAGTGGGACCTGCTTCAAGGGCTGGTCTGAGGCCCCCAAGGAAGGGACACAATCACACATGAAACTGCAGAAAACATGAGGGTAGCAGTCCTGAGAGAGAGAGAGAGCACAGCGGGGAGGGTGTTTGCCTTGCACACAGTCGACCCGGGTTCGATCTCAGGCATCCCATAGGGTCCCCAAGGGAATCACAGTCAGGGTTCCACTCAGGAATCTCTCCTGCTGATGCGCAGGGGACCCTCTGGGATGCCAGGGATGGAAGCCAGGTTGACCGCATGCAAGGCAAACGCTCTCCCCACTATCCTATCGCTCCTCGTGCTCTTTTATAAGTTTAGGGTTTGCTTAGGGACTTGAGGTTTTATTTTTCTGGTTTTTTTTTTTAAGGGCCATACTGGGCTATGCTCAGGGGTTGTTCCTGGCTCTTTGTTAAGGAATTATTTTATTTTTGGGGGAGTGGCATGCCTGACAATCCTCAGGGGTTCCTCCTGGCTCTGTGCTCAGAAAGTACTCCTGGCAGTGCTCAGGGGACCCTATGGGGTGCCTGGGATTGAACCTGGATCAGCTACATGCAAAGCAAGTGCCCTTCCCGCTGTGTTATCTCTCTGCCCCTCCTAAGTTTGGGGGCGCCATACCTGGCTATGCTCAGGGTTTATTCCTGGCTCTGTGCCAGGTTCAGTCCTGGTGGTGCTCAGGAAACCCCATGGGAGGCTGAGGATGAAATCCAGGTGGGCTTCGGGCAAGGTGAGAGCCCTCCCCACTGTGCTGTTGTTCCAGCCCGTCAGGTCTTTGGGTAACGGGACAGGGATGGTCCATGGTGCAGATCCCTGTACTGTACAGGGATGGTCCCTGTACTGGTCTGGGGGTGCCCTGCAGTTGCTTTTTGGGTCACACCCGGCGATGCTCAGGGGTTACTCCTGGCTCATGCACTCAGGAATAACTCCTGGCGGTGCTCGGGGGACCATATGGGATGCTGGGAATCGAACCCGGGTCGGCCGTGTGCAAGGCAAACGCCCTCCCCGCTGTGCTATCGTTCCAGCCCCACGACCCTTTTTTTTTTTTTCCCAGGTCTGAGCCTCCTCTTCTCTCAGGCCCCTTCCCTCTGCCCAGTTCCCAGGATGCTGTATTGCTGTGCCCGTGTGTGCGGTGTCCACCAGGCAGACTGACCGCAGCGAGCCTCATCCGAGCCGTCGGCGCAATCGATGCTGTCGTCACACTCAGGATTCACTTTGCTCACACACTGGCTGTTCTGGCAAGAAAAAGTGTCCCCGGGACAGCGGCCTGTATGGACAGACAGGGCCGAGTTCCAACTCCTGGCAGTGCTCGGGGTACCCAATAGGATGCCAGGGATCGAACCCGAGTCGGCCACGTGCAAGGCAAACGCCCTCCCCGGTTGGGCTATGCCATCCAGCCATCTCTGTGTATGTCTTTGTGTACGTGTCTCTGTACATGTGTCTCAGTGTGTGCGTGCAGTATGTGGATACGTGTGTCATAGTTACGTGGGTCTGTGTGCATGTCGCCCCTCTGTATGTGGGTGAGTACACAGGTGTGCACGACTGCGTCTGTGAAGATGTGCCTTGTGGAAGGGTGTGCAGAATCTGGAACCGTGTCTGTGAGGGCAGAGGGCCACATACCTGACTTCAAATCTCTCTCTGCCCAGGGCCCCTTCTGGCTTCCTGCAGGGAAAAGGAGCAAAAAGCGAGAAACTCATTTTATGAGCATGGCATGCTGGCCCAGGGCCCACTCACGCCCCAACCTGAGATGAAGAACTGTTCTTTTTTGTTTGTTTGCTTGCTTTTTGGGTCACACCCAGCAATGCACAGGGGTTCTTCCTGGCTCTGCACTCAGAAATTACTCCTAGCGGTACTTGGGGGACACTATGGGATGGTGGGAATCGAACCCGGGTCGGCTGCGTGCAAGGCAAATGCCCTCCCTGCTGTACTATCACTCCAGCCCTGGAACTGTTTTTGTTTCGGGGCTACCCCCGGCGAAGCTCAAGGCTGGCTCCTGGCTCTGCACTCAGGAATCCCTCCAGGTGGTGCTTGGGGACCCTGTGGGATGCTGGGGATAGAACCCAGGTGGGCTCTTGCAAGACAAGTGCTCTCCCCGCTGTGCTTTCTCTTTGGCTCCTGAGAATTTCTGTCCCTCAGACTCACCTCAACGCTAATCATGGCCCAACAGCCTCCACATTGAATGGTGCAGACAAGAAACACAACCGAGACCCTGGAAAATTCTATTAGATGACACAGATTCACGGGCTCTGAAACGCCGACCAGTGACTTAGGGTGGCGGGACTGAGGTCCAGTCGTGTTCTGGAGGCTGAGGTCAAGCTGACCGGATGGTTAATCTGACAGCCCTCTGGCTTCCAAGCCATACACACCATACCTGGAGCCAAGTATCTGCCTGGGGCTCTATCCCTAGTTACCAGATACTGGCCTGAATCTGGCCCGCCCCTCGCCTTTGTCAATAAAACTTTATTGGCACCTGGCCACGCCCACTCATTCCTCCTTCAGGGGATGATCCCATGGACTGTTGCAGAGCTGCGGACATTCTGGCCGTTGCCTTTCCGGGTGCTGCCCGCCTACTCTCTACTGCTGAGCTATGTGTCTTCACAGGGAGGGGGTGATTATGGGAAAGTTCCGGTGGGCTTCCCTAGCCCCACTGGTTTGTGTCTCCTGTCTCCAGCCTTTGTATATCTGTGGCCCACTTGCCTGTGAGCTCAACTGACATGATGGTGCCGTAGGCAGCCAGGGGGAGGCCGTGCTCCTGCAGGCGTGCTCGGAGTCCCTGCTGTAAAAGTTTTTCCTCCAGGCCTCGGTTGAGCCCCTGGATGGCTGGGAGCAGGAAGTGCATCTGGAACCACACCAGCACGCTGGCGTTCCCCGGCCTGCAGGGAGAACAAGAGGCCCTGGAAGAGAGGGCCCCTTGGCTTCTGGAAGCTTCTGGAAGTTTCTGGAAGCTTCCGGAAACTTCCAGAAGCTTCCAGAATGTCTCAAGAGGGGTCAGCTTAGGTTCTGGCATCCTGACTCACCTGTAACTGAGCACTGTACAGTCCACGCAGCGAGCCTCTAGCTCAGTCTTCTGGAAGCTGCTAAGAAACTATGACAGAAACCACAGCAGCAAATGGGGTGCACAGTGTGTGTATGAGGGGATGCTCCCCGAGGACTGAAGGGGGGAGCTGGAGGATGGGGGAGACTCATGGCCAATCAGCTCCCCTCACACCCAACATGAAAGTGGGAGAGAGCAAAGGGGTTAAGGCACTCATGTGTTGCACACAGCTGACCTGGGTTCTATCCCTGACACCTCATACAATCCCTTGAGCACGCCAGGAGTGATCTCTGAGTTCAGAGCCAGGAGTCAGTCCTGAGCACCCCTGGGTGCTAGACTAATATCACTCCATCGATGGTGTATAAACACAGCCTGCGTCCCAGTGTAAACAAGGCAGGAGTTGATGTCTGAGTATTGATTTTGGTTTTGGGGCCAGGCCCAGTGGAGTTGGGGGAGCCCCCAGCCCCTGAACATCTCCCTCGCATGGGTCTGTGTAGTCATACCTATAAGCTGAATGCACTATTTCAGGACAGGTTTGTTGTTCTTTGGAAGGTGGGGACCCCACCTGGCGATTCTCAGGGGTTACTCCTGGCGGTGCTCAGTGGACCATATTAGAATGCTGGGGTGAGAACCTGGGTCGGCCACGTGCCATGCAAATGCCCTACAGACTATACTATCTCTCTATCCATCCATCTTTTTTTTTGGGGGGGGGTCATGCCCGGCGATGCACAGGGGTTCCTCCTGGCTCTGGACTCAGGAATTACCCTTGGCGGTACTGGGGGACCATATGGTATGCTGGGAATCGAACCCGGGTCGGCCACGTGCAAGGCAAATGCCCTACCCGCTGTGCTACTGCTCCAGCCCCTCCATCCATCCATCTTAAATGAAAATTATGTCTCTTTTGTTGTTGTTGTTTTGTTTTGGGATTTAGCTACATGCGGTTGTGCTCAGGGATTAATTTTAGCTCTGCACACAAGGATTGTTCCTGGCTGGCTTGGGGGAACATATGGGATGTTGGGTTCGGGGGAACATTATGGGATCAAACTGAGGTTAGCCACGTGCGAGGCAAAGGACCCCCATGCTCTCCTGTCGCTCAGTGTTGACACACTTTCAAAAGTGAGCACAGAATTCAACATTTAGAAGTGCACATGAATAAACAAGAGGGGTCTGGAGCAATAGCACAGCGGGTAGGGCGTTTGCCTTGCACCCGGCCAACCTGGGTTCGATTCCCAGCATCCCATATGGTTCCCCGAGCACCACCAGGAGTAATTCCTGAGTGCAGAGCCAGGAATAACCCCTGTGCAACGCCGGGTGTGACCCAAAAAGCAAAATAATAATAGTAATAATAATTACGGTCACGGTCCTCCCGTTGTTCATCGATTTGCTTGAGTGGGCCCAGTAACGTCTCCATCGGAGACTTTGTTGTTACTGTGTTTGCCATATCAAAGACGTCATGGGGAGCTTGCCAGGCTCTGCCGTGCGGGCGAGATACTCTCGGTAGCTTGCTAGGCTCTCCGAGAGGGGTGGAGGAATCGAACTCGGGTTGGCCATGTTGGCTGCGTGCAAGGCAAACGCCCTACCGCTGTGCTATCGCTCCAGCCCAGTAATAATAATAATAAAAATAAAATAGGCCAGAGCAAAGGCATAGTGGGGAGGATGCTTGCATTGTATCCCAATAACCCTGATTTGAATTGAATAATTGAATTCTGGGCATGAAACATGGTCCAATGAGCCCCCAGGAGTCACTCCTGAGCACAGATCTCGGAATAAGCCCTGAGCACTGCTAGGTATGCACGATCACAATCACGATCACGATCATCCTGTTGTTCGCTGATTGCCTCGAGCAGGCGCCAGTAACGTCTCCTTCGTCCTAGCCCTGAGATTTTTGAAAAAAGTGCCATATTCAAGGCTCGTTCAGGGTTAGGAGAATGAGACCCATCGTTGTTACTGGTATTTGGCATATTGGGCACGCCACGGGGAGTTTGCCAGACTCTGCCGTGTGGGCAGGCTACGATCGGTAGCCTGCCAGTTTGTCCAAAGTAGGAATGAGATAATAAGATGTCGCTAGGTGTGCACAAAAAAAAAAACACTAAAAAAATAGATAAAGAAATTGCACAACCCTTTAAAGATGATCTGACTATGTCCATGGGGGTGTGCCAGATCATCTCTGGTTCCAGAACATTTCCACACTCACCACGTGAAACACACCAACCACAGTAACTGCACCAATACACCATCCACACCAGTCACGGTATCTACACCAAACTAACCATCCACACAATTCATGTTGTTGACACCGTGCGTACTGCCCACCCCACCACAAAACCTACACCAACCACACTAACCACACCAGCCATCCATCCACCACAATCACACCAGCCACACCATCCACAACAACCACAACAACCACAACAGCCAACCATCCACACCAACCACACCAACACCAACCACACCAACCACAGCAGCCAACCATCCACACCAACCACACCAACACCAACCAACCAACCACACCAACACCAACCACACCAGCCAACCATCCACACCAACCACACCAACACCAAGCAACCAACCACACCAACACCAACCACACCAACCACACCAACACCAACCACACCAACACCAACCACACCAACCACACCAACACCAACCACACCAACCACACCAGCCAACCATCCACACCAACCACATCAACACCAACCACATCAACCACACCAACACCAATCACACCAACACCAACCACACCAACCACACCAACACCAACCACACCAACCACACCAACACCAACCACACCAACCACACCAGCCAACCATCCACACCAACCACACCAACACCAACCAACCAACCACACCAACACCAACCACACCAACCACACCAACACCAACCACACCAACAACACCAACACCAACCACACCAACCACACCAACACCAACCACACAAACCACACCAGCCAACCATCCACACCAAACACACCAACACCAACCAACCAACCACACCAACACCAACCACACCAACCACACCAGCCAACCATCCACACCAACCACACCAACACCAACCACACCAACCACACCAACACCAACCACACCAACCACACCAACACCAACCACACCAATCACACCAACACCAACCACACCAACCACACCAGCCAACCATCCACACCAACCACACCAACACCAACCACACCAACCACACCAACACCAACCACACCAACCACACCAACACCAACCACACCAACCACACCAGCCAACCATCCACACCAACCACACCAACATCAACCACACCAACCACACCAACACCAACCACACCAACACCAACCACACCAACCACACCAGCCAACCATCCACACCAACCACAACACCAACCAACCAACCACACCAACACCAACCACACCAACCACACCAACACCAACCACACCAACACCAACCACACCAACCACACCAGCCAACCATCCACACCAACCACACCAACACCAACCACACCAACCACACCAACACCAACCACACCAACCACACCAGCCAACCATCCACACCAACCACCCCAACACCAACCACACCAACCACACCAACACCAACCACACCAACCACACCAGCCAACCATCCACACCAACCACACCAACACCAACCAACCAACCACACCAACACCAACCAACCACACCAACACCAACCACACCAACCACACCAACACCAACCACACCAATCACACCAACACCAACCACACCAACCACACCAGCCAACCATCCACACCAACCACACCAACACCAACCACACCAACCACACCAACACCAACCACACCAACCACACCAGCCAACCATCCACACCAACCACACCAACACCAACCACACCAACCACACCAACACCAACCACACCAACCACACCAACACCAACCACACCAACCACACCAGCCAACCATCCACACCAACCACACCAACACCAACCACACCAACCACACCAACACCAACCACACCAACACCAACCACACCAACCACACCAGCCAACCATCCACACCAACCACACCAACACCAACCACACCAACCACACCAACACCAACCACACCAACCACACCAACACCAACCACACCAACCACAGCAGCCAACCATCCACACCAACCACACCAACACCAACCAACCAACCACACCAACACCAACCACACCAGCCAACCATCCACACCAACCACACCAACACCAAGCAACCAACCACACCAACACCAACCACACCAACCACACCAACACCAACCACACCAACACCAACCACACCAACCACACCAACACCAACCACACCAACCACACCAGCCAACCATCCACACCAACCACATCAACACCAACCACATCAACCACACCAACACCAATCACACCAACACCAACCACACCAACCACACCAACACCAACCACACCAACCACACCAACACCAACCACACCAACCACACCAGCCAACCATCCACACCAACCACACCAACACCAACCAACCAACCACACCAACACCAACCACACCAACCACACCAACACCAACTACACCAACAACACCAACACCAACCACACCAACCACACCAACACCAACCACACAAACCACACCAGCCAACCATCCACACCAAACACACCAACACCAACCAACCAACCACACCAACACCAACCACACCAACCACACCAGCCAACCATCCACACCAACCACACCAACACCAACCACACCAACCACACCAACACCAACCACACCAACCACACCAACACCAACCACACCAATCACACCAACACCAACCACACCAACCACACCAGCCAACCATCCACACCAACCACACCAACACCAACCACACCAACCACACCAACACCAACCACACCAACCACACCAACACCAACCACACCAACCACACCACCAACCATCCACACCAACCACACCAACACCAACCACACCAACCACACCAACACCAACCACACCAACACCAACCACACCAACCACACCAGCCAACCATCCACACCAACCAGAACACCAACCAACCACCACACCAACACCAACCACACCAACCACACCAACACCAACCACACCAACACCAACCACACCAACCAC